GTTCTTCTATTGTTACAATGGTTCTATATAGCAACAAAAAGGGGTTTTCTATTGTTACAATGGTTCTATATAGCATCAAAAAGGGTTCTTCTATTGTTACAATGGTTCTATATAGCAACAAAAAAGGTTCTTCTATTGTTACAATGGTTCTATATAGCAACAAAAAGGGTTCTTCTATTGTTACAATGGTTCTATATAGCATCAAAAAGAGTTCTTCTATTGTTACAATGGTTCTATATAGCAACAAAAAAGGTTCTTCTATTGTTACGATGGTTCTATATAGCATCAAAAAGGAATCTTCTATTGTTATGATGGTTCTATATAGCAACAAAAAGCGTTCTTCTATTGTTACAATGGTTCTATATAGCGTCAAAAAGAGTTCTTCTATTGTTACAATGGTTCTATAAAGCATCAAAAAGGGTTCTTCTATTGTTACAATGGTTCTATATAGCCTCAAAAAGCGTTCTTCTATTGTTCCAATGGTTCTATATAGTGTCAAAAAGGGTTCTTCTATTGGTACAATGGTTCTATAAAGCATCAAAAAGGAATCTTCTATTGTTACAACGGTTCCACATGGCATCTAAAAGGGATCTGCTATTGTTTCGATGTCAAACTTGTAACATCATTTTTAGTGCTACATAGAAACATTTTCAAAAAGGTTCCATATAGAACCATATACAGCACATTCTCCATTAATCTGAAGAACCATTTCACCATGCAAAAAAACATTTAAGCAAGCAGGTGGTTCAATATATAACTCAGGGTTCTAAACAGAACAACTGTCTTTATTAAAGAACACTTTGAGAACCCTCTTTTTAGGAGGCTGAGTTAAAGAGCTGAAGGCCGAGGCTGCAGTGCAGGAAAATAAACAGTGTGGTCAGTTTTTCAGCCACCCCCACCCCCGTCTCCCCCGTCTCCCACCAAGAGGAGAAAACTCCCCCCACCGCTCCACCTGCCGCGCTGATGGATGGACTGATTTATTCATCTGTTTATCTGTTTAGGGTCATTTATTTATCTGTTTGGCCCAACAGCATCTCCAGCCTTCAGCACAGGCTGACGATTTCCCAGCATCCCCAGCTCTGCGGCTGCACTGCAGCACAGGAGTGCAGCTGTTCAGCTCTCTGTCCTTCCTCCTTCCATCTTTCCTGTCTTTCTTATATCCTCTCTTCCTTCATTCCATACTTTCTTGTCTTCTTTTTTCTTTCTTCCATGTTTTTTCTTTCTCCTGTACTGCCTTTGATTCTTTCTTCCTTCCTTCCTTCCCTTTGTCTTTCCTTCTTATTTTTCTTCCTTTATATTTTTTTGTTGTTTTCTCCTTTCTTCCTTCCTTAAAGTATTCCTTTCTTTCTTTCTTTCTGTACTGTATTTGCTTCTTTCTTTCTTCCTTTGTCTTTATCTTTTCTTTCTTTATACATTTTTTCTTCTTATTTCCTCCTTCCTTCCTTCATGATACTTTCTTTTTTCTCCATCCACCCATCCTTTCTTTCTTTTACTTTTCTTTCTTTCTTTCTTTCTTTTTCTTAATTTGATACTTTTCTTCTCTTTTTTTGCATCTTTTCTTTTTTTCTTTTCTTCTTTCTTCTGCACTTTCTTTGCTTCCTTATTTCTTTCTTCTCTTTGTTTTTTATTTGTTCTTCTGGTAATTTTTCTTGTTCCTTTCTTCCTTTCTTTTAATCCTGTCTTTTGGATTGTGAAGATGTTAAACCCTGTGAAGAGGATTTGGGGTTTTACGTGTGGCTTACTGGTAAGGTCTGCGAGGGTGAGCCAACCAATAGGATGAGCAAGACTAAAAGTAGAGTGCACGAACAAGTAGTTTATTTACACGATGTGAAAACAGGAAAGAAAAACTGTACAAAACGAAAAATAAACGGAAAGTAAAGTATTTACAATATATACTAAGTGTCAGGCTTAGTCATGGCATGGGAAGCAGCCGCGAGGCTGGGTCCCAACTCCCTTTATAACTTCCCCCACACCGTTACTTAAGACACTACAAGCTGCTAGTGTTTTTCAGTCAAACAGAGTCATGGGGAGAAGTAGTCCTCTCTCTTAGAGACCCTCGGGTTTTAAGTCCAAAGCCCCGCCTTAGGAGATCCCATTCCCCACCATGAGGTTACAACAGTGTGGTTTACACATGAAACAAATGACAGCGCTATATACAAACAACCTAGGTTGAACAATTTGTTACCGGTATATACATTGTCTGGGCCCATTAACTTATAACAACTTAATTATTTTCTTTTTCCTCTCACAGGATATTAGATGAGGAATAGACCCCCCCCCTTTCTCCCCATCGGTGGATCCTCCCGATAAGGATAAGGTACGTAGGTCTCCCTGCTGTCCCCCTTTTGCTAATTCTCCTTTCACAGGCAGACACAGGTAAGTACATCTATACACACATATTTTACAGTGCAAGGGATGGTATTCACTGGTGATGGGGTAGGCCTCGCCTTACCACATCACCTGGATGTTTCACGTTAGCAGCTATGGAAGATCACAGGTAACAATGAAGAGGGTCTCCCTCTCTCTCTCTTGCTCTTTCTCTCATTCTCTTTTCTTTCTTGTCTGTCTCTCTTTCTCTCTCTCCTGTAACATCTGTTGGTTAAACTCAGCAAAATTGCAACACTCTCTCTCTCTCTCTCTCTCTCTCTCTCTAACCCCCCTCAACCCCCCGCCCCCACTCCTCCCGGACATCTCAGCTGTAACTCAGCTCTCTTCACACCTCCGCTCCGCTCTGTTTGTTTGTCTTGTCCTGTCAGCTCCTCCCCCCCAAAATGAAGCCAAATAACTCAGTGTCAGAAACATATAACCCCCCTAACCTCCCTACTCCCACCCCCAAAACCCAAACTGCCCCGGAATGCAAGAGTTTTTCCCCCCAAGCGACTGACAAAGAGTTAACAAGTAGAGCTGGGCAATTTTTTTGTGTGACCATCTTTTTATTACTCAAAAAGGGGGCGGAGGTGGTGGGGGGTATGGGGTGTTATGGATTAAAAACAATATCGATGTGTTTTACAAATATATGTACGACTATGTCAGAGTATCAGACGCAAAACAGTTGGCATTAATGAGCGACATTTAGCAATACTGGTAAAACTAAAAATCAGTACCGCCATGTCACTCTGATAATACAGTGAGTTTCCATTTCCTGCTGTTCACTGCTTTACTGCCTCACAGCTCTCACTCTGGAGCGCCAACCTGATACGCCTTTCTGTTTCATCTTCTGAGTTACAAATCTTTACTTCAGTGTTGTTTTAGGCTCCTCTATCCACGTCTGCTTATTTTTATGTGATAAATTCTGAAAAGCACAACTCACAGCTTTTTATATGATATTAACAGATTTTAAGAACACTTTGAGAACAGACTTGAGGTTTTGAGAACAGATTTTGAGAACACATTATGCAACCGTGGAGCGTACGCATGAGTATAACTTTTCTTTGAGCAAAATGGTCTGGGCGAGGACGAGGAGGAGGGGGAGCAGAAAGAACAGTTCTGTTCAGTTTTAAAATAAAGGTCTAGTCTGTTCAAGTAATGTTTCTTCATGTATTCACTGCGTTTGCTTCTGCTGGGGTCTTTTATTCTAAAAGGCAGGCTGGGTGTGGCCAGTGTGGGGTACAAAGGTATAAATACACAGATGCCGCACTGTCTGTTGTTCTCTATCTGAGGCGATACGTATGTGTGTGATATAGATTGTTTTTTTTATAGGCTCTGCTTTAGCATATTTAGCAGAAGGTGGATCTTGGGAAGCGCTCGAAAGTGTGATTCCTCTTTGTGAAAGAAAACACAATGGCGAAAAACCAAAGCGCCGCATTAGCCAGCTCCACAGACAGCGTGAGCACCTCGCTAGCACATCCAGTACAGTCAACCTGTGATACGCCTTTCTCATTAGCAATGAGGGGAAAGAGAGGAAACTGAGGAGTGACGGCAACTGTAGTAAAAGGGCTACATCCTTTCTCAGATGCTGAGTCACTGTCATTTATGCAGACAAAGTTTTAAAAATTTAGATGATAATTTGCCAATATTAGTTTACTTGTACAGTATTGCTGTGTTGTTTCTACAGAGAGTTGCATGTTTGCACGGAGATGATCGATGTGCTAAACCCAAACTACACTGCCCGCTCCTAAGGGGAACTTAATTACTCTAAACAGTCTCCGAGTCGGGGCTAGCTGCTCTGAGGTGAAACCCAGTCACTTAAGCACACTGTTCAAAGCAACTAAATTACTCTGAAGCAAGTTGGAGCTTCAAAACATGGCAGCATTTATTGACAGTTTCAAATTAAACCTAACATAGAATAAGGAGAACTGGGGAGCCGTAAGGAGGATAAAGCAGAACGCAGATGGTAGATTTCCCAACAGACTCTCTCTCTCTTTCTCTGTTGTAGTAGGAAAAATGGATCACCTTCGCACTCCTTATGGCATATGGACCCTATTTCCCCCACAACATTTGACATTACAGCCTCGAACACAACAATATTTGACCATTATTGACCATATTTTGGTTCAGTCTGTTCTGTTTGTATTTACCACTTCTTAAAACAAGCTGCTTCTAGCGCTGACTGAATGCGTTATCCACCCATAAGTTCAGCCAATGTTCATGTTTCCAAACATTCTGATTTGGTTGGATTTGTAACGGATTATCAGGCTGCGTGTAAACATGGCTAGTGAGCCGAGAGCTAGCACGGCCACTGTGCTTTCCCCCTCATTTGCATGCTGTTTTCTGCTGAAATTCAAGTAAGGCTGAGTATGGACCAGAACCCTGTCTTGTCTAAGTTTCTCAGGAGTACCCCACTCGTTACAGTATGAAGGCTGTGTGATGAGAGACAGGTTTCTGCTGCAAACCAGAAACATTTTCAAAAGACTGCACCTTCACAAAGTGGTGGCGACATTTTAAGCAGTGGTGGGGACGTATACCAGGACCGCCCCCGGCGTAAATGACACCTGTGAGCGACAGAGACGATAAAAGCAGACAAATGAGGCGCGCCGTGTCCCACCCCGGCCCCATCGTACCTTTGCAGGCCTTCCTGTGGGAGATGGGCTTGGACATGTCTCTGTAGTAGCCCTCCTTGCAGTAATGGCAGTGGCGTCCCGCTGTGTTGTGGCGGCAGTTGAGGCAGACTCCTCCGCTCTTCCTCCCCGACAGCTTATACAGCTCCATATTAAAGCGGCAGCGTCGCGCGTGCAGGTTACAGTTACAAGCTGCGGGGAGAGAGAGAGAGAGAGAGAGAGAGAGAGAGAGAGAGAGAGAGAGAGAGAGAGAGAGTATATCAGTACAGTGTGAAAGCACAGTGTAAAAGTATGTACAATCTGTGTGAACACAATATATATACACTGCACTCTTAATTAAGATGGATCTAGAGGAATTTTTGGTAGAGACAACGGTTCTACACAGAACCATGAACACTCAAAGAACGATTTGCATGATTAAATGGTTCTCTGCATGAGGAAATGGATCTTTATATTGATGGAGATGTTTTATGGAGTGTTGTCTATATGGTTCTATATCACACCATCTACTGTTACAATACTTCCATACAGCACCAAAAATCATTATTCTATTGTTACAATGGTTCTACATGGTTCTATACAGCACCAAAAACTGTTCTTTTGTTACAATGGTTCTATATGGTTCTATATAGCACCACAAAGGGTTCTGCTATTGTTATGATGGTTCTGTATAGTTCTATATAGCACCATCTACTGTTACAATGGTTCTATATAGTACCAAAAAACATTCTTCTATTGATACAATGGTTATATATGGTTTTATACACCACCAAGAAGTGTTCTTCTATTGTTACAGTGGCTCTATTTGGTTCTATACAGAACCAAAAAATGTTCGTCTATTGTTGCTATGGTTCTATATGGTTCTATATAGCACCAAAAAGGGTTCTTCTAATGTCATGATGGTTTTATATGGTTCTATATAGCGGCATCTTCTGTTACAATGGTTCTATATAGCATCAAAAAGAGTTATTCTATTGAGACAATGTCAAGCTTGTAACAAAAGCAGTACTTTTTTGGTGCTAGATAGAACCAATTCCAAAAATATTACATATAGAACATATTCTCATTATCAGCATTATCAATCTGAACCATGCAAAGAACCATTTAAGCATGCAAATGGTTCTTTGAATGTTCATGGTTCTATATACAACCATTGGCTTTACTAAAGAACTCTTGGAGAACCCTGTTTTTTAAGAGTGTGGGAGTTAACCTTTGGAGTACGTCACTGATCATTCTGCCCCAAGTCTCTATTAAAGTTTAATAACGAGTAAGCAGTGAAGTTACTGGACGCAAATCTGAGATAATGTTACAGGTGGAAATCTCAGTGGAAGAGGTAGGAGTGATTAAACTGGTCCTAATAATGATGCCAGATGGGGACCCACAGCTCTCATTAGGATCTCCCTTTACTCTCTGATGACTCCTCCAATTACCGTCCCTGTCCCAGCGCTGGCCCGGCACGAGAGCCGCCGCTGCCGTGTTTACTCATGAATAACGTTGCTGGCAGTGAGTTTAATTAGCCTACCATGTTTATTTATTATTTGTTTAGCGTGCAGTGGCGCTGCCATTCACTGAGCCCCAGTGCAACCGCCCGCCACTGCAACTCATGTTTTATTAAACCATCCGTCAGTCACACAAACAAACACAGACAAGCATCCATTAGAACAGATCAGTAACGATTAGTCCAGCGCAAAACTAAAGATGCAGCCTTCATACACCAAACATATCCTTGCTGACTGACCACATATGCGTTAAGGGGGACTTAAAATTTGTAAATCTGATTTCTGTAATCAGTGTCATACTCATATAAGGAACGCTGGACGTCAGCAGATTTATCTATGAAAAAAATAATTTTTCAAAAATTGCTATAATGATCTGTAATAGTAAACAAAAATATGTCCTATGTACATTTTCCCCCAAGAGTTACTGGATCCCCTGAATTACGAGGTAGTTAAGGAATCAAAATATGGATAATGCAAGTGAACACTACTGTGCACTGAAATGGCATATACCAGCACAAGCTCCGCTAACTGCAGGCTGAAACTGTCCTAAACCCTTCTAACTACCACTTTTGATAAAGCTTGCTGGTTTGTGTTTATATTTCAGCTCCTTAACAATTTAAAGATGAAGAGAATCTGGGGACATTCAGAGGAGAAACGTACATCCCACAAAATGCATGGAATCTGGAACCTTTTTGTTAACCACAGTATGAGATTTTGGTGAAAACGCCATTAATTTTTCCTAATAGGGATAGCCTAGACCCAGAATTCCTAATATGGGCATGACACCGACTGCAGAATGACAGTGGCTTCAGAGGTCTATGGTCAGGTCAGTGGGAGTTCGGGAAGTTGGAAGAGACGTGTCAGAAACTCTGAAGAGAACTTCCGATCTGTAGAGCCAGAAAAGCCCGTCTCAGAAGGAGGCTGTATGGTCTAATCCTCCTAAAGCTCTGGATGAGTTTCCCAGCGCTGTAAGCTGGAGCTGTTAATGAGGCTGTGGAGCTGTGGGGGCAATAACCTGTCTGCTCTGGATCTGAAACTGATCCACTCACCCCCTCCGGCTACAGATTACACACAACCGCTAACAAGAGCACGACTGAGCCCCCCGCTCATCACTAAAACCACCATACTGACACAAACTCTCCACTAACAACACTATTACCCACTCATCAGGAACACCACCACTGCAAACAGTCATCATGAACATCACTGCACACAGTCATCACGAACACCACCACTGCACACGGTCATCATCAACACCACTACTGCACACAGTCATCACAAACACCACCACTGCACACGGTCATCATGAACACCATCACTGCACACGGTCATCACAAACACCACCACTGCACACGGTCATCATGAACACCATCACTGCACACGGTCATCACAAACACCACCACTGCACACGGTCATCATGAACACCACCACTGCACACAGTCATCACAAACACCACCACTGCACACGGTCATCACGAACACCACCACTGCACATGGTCATCACAAACACCACCACTGCACACAGTCATCACAAACACCACCACTGCGCATGGCTATCATGAACACCACCACTGCCCATGGTCACCACCAACTGGTATTACCCACTACCCCATGGAAAGCTAACGCCAACCAAATAGGCCTTAGCAATACAACAAGCTCTCTCTTTCTTTAAAAAAATAGAACCCAAGTTTGTCTGTATTTTTCTATTATTTCACAGAAATCTTTGGCCCTTCTCTGAACACCTGGGGTTCCCCTGACTGTGTGTCCATGCTGAGTGTTTGTGTCAGGCTACGTTCTGCTGGAATGCTGCTGTTTAACATCTGCACTGACCTCACAAACACACACAGCGTAAACTCTGAATGCCGGACGGTGATGCCAAAGATGTTTCTGTTCACCCACAACGACACCCCGAACACATGCACGCTAATAGGGGCACCTGCCCTGCAGCGCTCAGGGCTCAGGATTCAGGGTGGCTGCCTCTCTATGGAGGGAACACAAAGACTGTGTGCTGTGTTGGTTCTGCACACTCACTTTAGACATCACACACACAAGCATTCTCTCGCCTGGTTCCGCTGAGTGAACAGTGCTGTGCAAAAGTCAGAAACCACCCTTCATTTATTCAGTCTTTAGTCAAAACATCCACTGAGTACAAGCTACACATTTTTCAGTGTCAGAAAAAAATACAGAAAATATTTTTAACAGAATATTACACAACCAATACAGAGGACATTAAAGGGCCCATACCCTACATTTTTCGTGAATATTTTTCCCTGAGGTGTTGTACTTATAAACATGTGTAGTTTTATATACCAAAAACAGCCATAATTATTTTCTACATGGTCATTTTCCACTGTGTCTTTATCCCTCACAGCCCTTAAACAGGCTGTTTTTGATATTGTGCCTTTAAGACTCACATATAGTCATATGCAAAACTCCTGGTCAAATTTAAATGAGTTTTATTGAATTCCTAAGTGAACGTAAGTTATCAAATCCTCCAGCTTCTGCACATTCCAACACACAATTACTGTTTATTTGAGTTTAACATATTGAAAAAAAAAAACATAACCCTCTCAACCCTCTACTCTTTCTTTTTTCTTCTCTCTCTTTTCTCTTTCTCTATTCTCTCTTGCTCCCTATGGTCTCTCTCTCCACCCTCTCTCTTCTCCTCTTTCTTTTTTCCTTCTCTCTTTTTTCTCTCTATTCTCTCTTCATTCTCTTTCCTCTTTCTCTATTTTTCTCCATCCCTTTGGTCATCTCTCTCTCTTTCTCTCTTTCCCTCTTCTCTTCTTCTCTTCTCTCTCTCTACCTCAGCAGGACTGAAGGCCTCATCAGGGAAGAAGGTCAAACAGGCTGTTCTCACCTCCACTTAACAGATATCACAGACAGTGTGTGTATGTGTGGGTGTGTGTACTCGTCTTTATCACTTTGTGAGGACCCAATGTCCTCCTTATGAAAGGACATTATGACAGTTTAGTAGAATGTCAGAGTTCAGTTCAGGTGTAGGTGGAGCGATACACAGCTACAGTAATACAGAATTCAATGAAATTCCTCACAAGTATAGTAACACCAACATCTGTGTGTGAGAGAGAGATAAGAAGGGGAGTTTTTGGGAAAAAGCTGATCCAGATGACTTCTGTCCTTCCCTCCTCTTTCCTTTCATTTTGGCCGCTAACTACATACTGCCAAAAGAGGAGTGTGTGTGTGTATATGTGTGTCAGCTGACACTAAATGGTGAGTAATTTACGTACTGCAGACTGTGTTATTAGCTGTTTGACTGACTAATAGATATAAAATGATAACAAACAGCCTCAGTTTTGAAGAGGGAGACATCTGAGTGAAGAGCTGCAGTTTGGCAGTCTTTACAAAAACTGTACAAAAATGTTCTCTTATTTCTTTTCCTTTCCTCAGGTTGAGTTTGAGGTTAGGTTTAAGACCAGGCTTAGAAATGTCTAATGACATGTAGGTACTTACATATCATCACTGTCCCAACCACTCTTCAAATCTGTAACTATGGCAAAAACCTTCTTTACTTTTTAAGGAAGTTAATGTAATGAATTTTTTTTCCAAATAATTTTAGAATCTTTCTATTGGTCCACTCATTATCAATTTTTAAATTTTTACATTATAGAAATGTTTCAATAAACATTAAAAAATGTGAGAAATTATTCTGAAAAGCGACAATATATATATAATA